TGGCGTCGGCTCCAGGAGGAGAGCCAGGCCTCTTTCCAAGCCACAGTGATCTCAGTGGCCAGCAGTTCGAGATTTATGACGTTTTTCACAGAAGTACCTGGATGACAAGCTGATGTTGCACTTAAACCATTTACACTTGAAAACAGATTTACACACTCCATTTTGTATGTGCCCCTAGCGTGAAACATAAAGCGCACTTCTCTGCATTCTTGAGCCAGTTTGGCTCTGCTCTCTGATATTAGACACCCAGTTCCTGGAAGCACACCGAGGGGACGCGTCTTCCTCCTCCAGCCCCCACCCCTGCAACTTTCTCCTATGGGAGGCCTCCCTCGGGGTACACCCCCGGGGCACCCGGGGACCCAGGGACACTAAGGAGCGACACAGTGTCTCACGTTGTCTCTGTGGATGTGACGCGTTCAGGAAATCTGCTTGTACCAAATGGCCAAAGCGGAGGCGTAAATCACGTTCTTCTGGGAAGTGCTTGGTACCCACAGGCGTGGCGGTCTGCCAAGGCTTAAAAAGCTGGCTCCATCCTTGAATGAACGCGGAAAGACAGAGAGTTCCAGACCCGTCCACAGTGGCCCATTTGCACAATTAACATTTTTTCTCTTCTTCGCCTTCCCTGAATGGACCAGGTTCTTCAGAAATGGAGAACAGAGAGCCAGACCCCGGTCACGGCCCCCTGTCCGGTGACAGGAGTGATGTCCCGTTGGCCAGGATGTGAGCACACCCCCCCCCGAGCATCTTCCCAGAGAGGGAAGGACCTCCGTTCACACACGGGCCCACGCACACTGGTCCAGAGCGGCTTCCTTCTCGCAGTGAACGCGCGGGAAGACCTCGGAGGCCTTCAGCAGCCGAGTCACTCCATGGTGGCTGATACAGCCACACCCTGCGAGGCCGCGCGGCAGCTTCCCACCCCCCTGGAGGGACGTCCCAAGAGATGCGCCATTGCAGGCGGCTACAGCCACGAGGTCCTGCTCAGATAGCATCCTGAAGGGGCAGCGCGGGAGATGGGGAGCAGGCGAGTGGTGGTCAGAAGTGCTCAGAGGACGGGGAATGACCAGAGGGGGCTGGGGCTGTGGACGGTCGCGGGCGGGATCCTCGGGGTGGGTCTCGTGTGTATTGATGGTGGTGGCGCTGGTAGAGCTAGGTACGCGCGCGCACACACACGCACAGGGGAGCCCACGGGAAGCCGCGAACCCTGGCGGACACCAGCGCAGTTGCGCTCCCGGCGGGGAGGCCGCGCGGCCGTCAGGCACGATGCTGCCGCTAGCAAATGGGGGAAGGCCGCAGAACACCAGTCTGTATTATTATTTTTACAAGTGCATGAAAAATCTACATCTCAACCTAAAAGTTTTTAAAAATCTCATCCAACGGCCCGTGTGTGCTTGTTTCCAGAGGGGCGGGAGGGGAGGGGCTCGCGGACACTGGTTCCAAGGTGCTGTCCCCAGCTCCACGGCTCCACCTGCGCTCGGCCTGGCAGGGCGCTGAGTGCCGGTCGGCAGCACCTGGCTGGTGAGCGGCCCTTGGCCTGATCTGCCGGAGCCTTGATCGATGGACAGAGCCGCTTATGCTCCGAAGTCGCCTAGGACTTGCTCAGAGCAAAGCCCCGCCCCGGACTGGGCCACCATTTAGTACCACTGATCTCGATCTAAAGCTGCGTGCATCCAGGAGGAAACACTATTGTTTTGGCTTCTCCCTGGGATTCGGGTCAATGTCCAAATTCTTTTCTGATGCAGAAACTTTATATTAAATGGAAAAGCCCATCAAAAGGGTCCAACGGACCTTTCAAAAACTCAGTTTGCTGCAAATCTGGAAATCCCGGCTGTGGGGCTGGGCCATCCCGTGGTTCGAGCCCTTTCCGCAGGCCCCGCCCTCGAGCGCAGGGAGCAGGCCCCGCCCCCGAGCTCCCGAGCTGCCGCGAGCGTGCCCCGCCCCGCCCCGCCCAGCAGGCCTCAGACTTGCCACCACCTCGCAGCCAGAGTCCCGCCCCGCGGCAGAGGGATGCCGCTCCCACACCCTCCAACGCCTTCCCGGGCCGTCACAGCCACCGCAAATAACGCTTTTCCAAATGATGTCCTATTTAACAGCCGAAGAGATTTAACTTTCTCTCCGACATACGTTGCAGTTGCGTACGAAGGCTTGCGCGGGGCAGGGGAAGGTCGCTGGATGCTTCTCCCGCACTGGCTGGAGAGACAAACGGTTGGAAGGACACCAAGAGCCTTCCGAAAGCCGGAGCCGAGGCTTCGCGGCCAGGAACCCGCCCTAAGAAGACGGTGAGGGCCTGCGCGGGGACTGGGCCGCGAGCCTTCCCGGGCGCCCGGTTCCCACTCGCCTGCTGAAGCCAAAGCCCGAAAGTATTTTATCGACGTGGAAAGACCAGCATGATATAGTGAGTCTTTTTAAAAGGTGGTTTACAGACAGTCACGACAATAAAACTTTATTTTGGTAGAAGCCTAAGTGTAGAAATGACTCTGTGCCCAAGGTTCGAAGAGCGTAAGAGAACGTGTTGTGGGTGCTGGTTGGATTCTGGAGGCCTTGTGTTTTTTCCTGTCTGTGTCTGTACTTCCTCATTTCCATGCATATTATTAAAAAGGGCAATATATACCTGCTCATTGTATTTTATGCATTACATAAAGCGTACATTTAGATGTAACTGCATACAAAGTATGTAACATTGGAGAGCGAAAGCAGGCGAATTCGGGTCTAGCTCAGCGCACTGAGGAGCAGGAGTGGGAAGAAGCCTGTGCGTGGGCAGCCTCACAGACACCTGCGCGTGGGCACCGCCATAGACACCTGCGCGTGGACGGCGTCACAGACTCCGGTCTGTGCTACTTTCACGAAGGAGTATCTTCATCCGCACCCACTGTTCTCTGCGAGGCCACTGCGTCTGCCTCCCAGCGCAGTTTGGTAAAAAGCAACTGGGCAGAACAAAACACGAATAAAAATAATGCCTTGCTTTGGGATAAATACTTCCGTCTGAGAAACTCTTTCACACACATTATCACGGTTGGGGGTCACACCTGTGAGTGGACAGGAGGGACAGTATGACCTCCAGTGCGCGGGAAGCGCACACCCGGGACCGCACCAAGGTGAACGTGTACGAGGTGGCAGCTCGCCGCTCGGGAAGGTGCAGCCCAGGTCCCTGCGGCTGCGCACGTGGCCCAGACGCGGCCCCGCCCCTGGCGGAGCTCAAAGAGGCGCATGCGCACAGGCAGGTACACCGCGATCAGGGATCCAAAGGGCTCCCCCCCCCACCCCCATGAGATGCGCAGGAGGCTGCCAGGCGCCAGGAGGCGCCGCTGACCAGCGAGGAGGCCTGGGGGATGCGTTGCGAGTGAGCCACGTGGGGGTTGCTTCTCAGGAAGATGAAGAGCCCTCGGGTGCGCCTGGAAATGAGGACACAGGAAGGAGGCCAGCGTGCAGAGGCCCAGCGACACCAAAGCGCAGCAGGCGTGTGTGCTCGTTGCAGGCGGGCAGGGGATGCTGAGGGCCAGTGGGCGAGGCGGCAATGGGCAGTGGGCACCCGCGGAGGGGCTCTAGGCCTTTCCCACGGCCACCAGCAGGCTGAGCCGGTTGAAACGCAGGATCAGATTAGAATCTGGGGACAGTTTTGCAGCAGAAAGGACATGCGTTCCAAGGAAGGAGGTGGTTGACAGGAAGCCCACGCCAGAGACGCTGCTAGCCCGAACTCGGGCGGGGTGGCGGGCACACTTGAGCGACTTTGCACGGCAGAGAATCAAGAGCCGGTGGCAGTGGGTGCCGGTACAGAGCCAGGAGGACGCAGCACGGAGTCCAGGTTCTCAGCCTTAAATGCGGGAGGACGGTGATTACTCTAACCGGGGAAAAAAAACACCTGGCTGGTCTGGGAGTGGGGAGGAAGCCACATGTCCGGCTCAGAGCAGCGCGGTGGACCGGACCTTGGGCGCCATCCCGTGCAGCGGCGGGATTTGAACTCAGCAGACGTGACGGACCGTGGAGAGTGCGGAGCAGGAAGCAGGAGGCAGCAAAGGGCCCTGGCGCGTGCCTCCGTGTAGGAGACCGGCAGGGAAAGCGAGCTGGTGGATGCCGAGACGGGGCGGGAGGGTGAGGAGCGACGGCGACCGAGCCACATGGGCCTTTTGGGAAGGAAGGAGGAGGGCGAAGAGATGGCGCGAGGACCGCCACCACCCACATCTGCTGGACAGCCAGATGCGGCCGCGGAGGTCGGCTGTGGCCACGGTGGGCGCCCGGAGGCTCGGCCATGAGAGAGAGAGCGCCCGTGGAGCCCGAGGAGAGGGAGCTTCTCCACGCCACCTGCCGCTGTGAGATTGGACCAAGTGGCGGCGGGGGAGGGGACAGACTGCCGGGCAGGGGTCTCGTTTCAACCCCCAGGGCCACGCACGCTGCTTTTTTGAGGCAGGGCCCTGCCGCCCTTTCCTGCGGACCGGCGGACCGGCGAGGGCAGAGTAGCGGACCCGCGAGGGCGGAGCAGCGCTGAGATGTCTGCAGAGCTGTGACAGACGGTTAGGTCAGGGCTGACACAGCCCACGCTGCTGGGCACTTGTTTGTGCTACTTTCAGATCACTTACTTGCCCCGGGACAAACGACCCCGCAGGGTTTCCTCCGCCCCATCAGAGGCAGCGCCGCCGTGTCCCCTGCGTCCCCGTGGTCTCCCAGGCCCCTTAGGAGCTGCTGCACAGCCCAGCCCCGTCCCCGGCTGGGCTCACCCGTCGGCCCCGCTCGGTCCACTTCTCCAGGTGGACGGAGACGTAATAAGACTTGGGTTGCCTTTTTGGGGGCCAAAGTTCCAGATAAGAAGACCCCCGCCACCACGCAGATTTCACTAAGCGTCTCCCTTTCTCTAGCTTCCCTGAACCCACAGGGTGACTTTTCTCCTCAGTCCTCAAAGGGCGCGATTCACACATTCTCTTGAAACAACCTTGCATTGGAATCCGTTCTCACGTTGCACCCAAAATAAACCTCCATGTTAAAAAAGGAAACCTGTCCTTAATAGATCCCTCCTGTTTGCATGCCTCTGAATAACGTTTTTGACAGCTTATAAAAGGAACGCTTGTGGAAGAGCGGCCCGGTCCGCGCCCAGACGCTCGCTGCTCCCCGTCGGCGCACAGTAGGGCTCGATAAACCTTTGTTGGGTGGAGGAAGGGTCAACAGTAATTATTTAGTGCAAGAGCGGGGAGCAGTCGCTTTGGCACCCCGAGAAAGACGGGCTCAGAGCGAGCTGCTGTCAGTCACACGGCGCTCGCTGTCAAGAGCAGAAAATCGCAATTTTAAAGCAACATCACCCAAGTTCTACAAACAGTGAGTAACAAGGATTCGCTTGCTCTAAGCCAAACTGGCCTTTTAATAAGAGCTAATCAAAACACTCCTGCTAATTCCAGAGATCCCCGCCTGTCTGCGCTGAAATCCAGGACACTGCCAGCTCGCCCCTGCTGTCTGAGGCCTGAGGGCAGGAGTTCAAAACCCCGGACCCGGGCACAGACCCTCGCCGTGGGAGAGCCTTGCGCCAGCCTGCCCCTCCCCACCCCTCCCCACCCCTCTCTGTAAGTGAGCGAGTGCTGCAGAAGCCCCGCCCGGACAGAAGCATCAAAGTCCCCTCCCTGCCAGTCGGGAACCCCTGTAAACGGAGCACCGGGGTTCGGGACCGCGACGCACACCTGCCCGCGCGTCCGGGCTCCAGGGGGCAGGGGGAAGGCGCTCGGAGCGGGGCTCCCGGGGGCAGGAAGAGAACGGCTGCGTCCTCAAAGCTGCCGTGTGCGATGCAACGGCGAGGGGCCAACTTCACAGAGACGGGTAAGTCTCCAACTTGCATAGAGGGAGCATCAGGCCGTATCTCTTGGTGGTTTCATTAAAGTGGCTGTTCTGCAGACAGTGCACCTGTTTTACTCAAAAGCCATGTTTTCTGATAAAATAACGCTGACCCTTGAGTAAAATGCTACACGGCCCCAGAGAGTTTCAGGGGGGCACACCCAGGGCCCTAGCGGTCCCCGGACAGGGAGGTCGCCCCGGCCACTCTTTCAGGCCCCCAGGGAGCCCCTGCAGCTTTCTCCAGGGAGGCGCCCTGTTTTCCAAAACGCTGGTCCCTGAGCCCCTCGCCAGGCACGCACTCAGAAAGCGGGCACGCGGGAGTCCGGGGGGGTGTGGGGTATGACAGCAACAGACACACTGTGAGTGCCTGGTCTGTGTGCGTGGGGGCGGGCAGACGGGTCAGAGCGGGAGAGGAGTTCTGCTTAGACATGGGAAATAAAACTTGACGTAGAGAAGTCAGTCTTCAGTCCAGTGAGTGCCTGCGCAAGAACGTTTGTTGTCACTGCATTGTTTGTACCAGAAAATTGGAGGCAGCTTCAATGCCCACCGGTAGGGGAATGTGTAAACCACGAGAAACACAGGGTACGGCGACGCCCTGGAATATTATGCAGCCAACACAAAAATATAACTAGAATGTATCGGTTAACCCAGCAAGCTTTCTAGAAAGTATTGTTGATTGAGCCAAGATTTAGAAAATATCTAGCATATCCTTCTTTTGTAAAATGATAGCACAAAAGCTATGTGATGTGCTGTTATATAATTACACGGCTTTTGTGCTATTATGTGTGTGTATATACATGTATATATAGTCCTTCCCACCCCCCCAACCCCCTTGCTCCCCGTGCGCTGCAGGCAGCTGGTAACCCTTCCTCAGGGACAGCGGCCGAGCCTCTCTGATGGGGGATCCCACACCTTAGCGCCCGAGCGCTGGTCGTCTTGTTCTGCAAGAACATTTGCCGGGTGTGTCTTTTGCACTCGGAATAAAGGCTCCTTCAGCAACGTGCTGTCTGTCTTTAGGCGATTTCCAGCCTGTGGCACCTCGACTCAGATTTTTATTGGACTGAGTCTTGCAGACAGCCCTGGCCTGAGTACATGTGGAAAAAGGAGGACCGGATCAGGCACTAGCCAAGGAGGCACCAGGCACCCCGGCCGTGGCCTGCCAGCCGCTGGGCCAGCAGTGAGAGCCGCCAGGAAACCGACGAACCGCGCTCGTCGCGGGGGCGGGGGGACCGGGACCCAGCGCAAACTGCAGCTCTGCGCCTCGTGCACTCGCTCTTAGCATGTTCACGGGAGGCTCCGGGCGCCTTTCCATGGCGACAGGGCCTGGCTCCCTGCTGGCTCCGCCCGTTCTCCCTTATGGAGCTGACAATGGTGGTGCACAGCGCCCACCCCCTGCCCACAGGGGCCCAGCGCCCCACAGACCACCCTCCTGGGGACCTGACCTTCGTCCTTGAAGGCCCTCTCTTGCCTGCGGGTCCTCCCCGGAGCTCCGACCCACCCACACTCAGCCCAGAGCCTGCTCTTTTAAATGAATCAAACAACATGTGATTACTTATTGGGGATGGACTAACAGTATGCACACTTCAGTAGACGGTGCAGCTGATGAAATAAGAGAATAAAGGTAATTTTCTCCAAATTTAGCAATCCTCACGCGATTCTCAGACGGGGCAAGACGTGGTGAGCACCAGTCCGGTCCACATGCACACAGAAAGTGACGGGGTACCGACCGAAAGTGTGAAAAAATCATGAAATGTAAAGGGACGCAGGACACCTGGTGTTAGGCTCCCACGTGGGTCCATGGCCACAGGCCCACCCCTCCCAGGCTGCCTGGGAGACAGGGTTCCTGGGGGCGCTGGGGGCGCTGCCACCGCGGCCCCGCAAACAAGGAAGAGGGTCTGGGGCTGAGCTGTCCTCTGGCATCAACAGCGGCATGAAGTCATCTCCCACTGAGGTCACCACGCTGGCATGCACGGCCTCCAAATTCGCTCTGGGGAAAGGCGCTCAGCACCCAGCCCCCGATCCCCCGGGGCGGGAGAGCCGAGCCGTCCTAACATGCTCGCCCCCTGAATCCACTACTTAGTGCGTGCAGGGCCCAGCACCCCCCCCCCCGATCCAAGGCTGGGCGCCCGGCGGAGTCTGCCTCAGGTCCCTCGGCTCCGGTCAGCAACGGGCGGCCCCTCCGGCCAGTTTCATGAAGGGCGCAGCTCCGCTCTTCCTGGACGTCACTCTCACGTGCGGGCCATGAAATTCTAACCCTGACCGCAGGGTTCCAGGCCGCCTCGTGGCCCCCCATCCTCCTCTGGTGTGGCGCCCCCCACCCTGGCACCCAGCGGGTGGGCCCTCAGCCACGTCCTCAGCGCTGCTTTCCTCGTTTGACTCTCTGTCCCTCCTCCGGACTCCGAATCTTCCAAGCCGGGGCTCAGGCGGGCCACCTGGGAGCAGGCTCCATCACGCCTGCTTTCCCGAAGGGCCGGCCTTCCGTGGGCTGAGTCCGCAAACAGTCACAGCTGCCCGCCCGAGCCGGGCCCTGCTCTGGCCAGTCCCGATGTCCCCGCTGCATGTTATCACCCACTGGCTCTCATAACTTGTGATAAACAGGTAACGTTCATCAGGAAGTTACCACTCGCGGGAGGGGTCCTACTCCCCCATGGGTGTTAGTTCATCCTCCCGATTACCGCGGAGGTAGGGACCGCTGTATCCTCAGCTTCTCCCAGGGCGCGCGGCACAGGGAAACCACGTGGCTTTCCGGCAGGATTCCCTGTGACCATTAGGCGCCAGGGCCCCTGCCGGCCGCTGCGCTGTTCGGCCCCCCGCCACGGGCGGACCCGCTCCTGCCGGGGACAGTTCACCAGTGTCGCCTGGGCACAGCCTGCCTCCAGAGCGGCGGCGGAGTCCGTATTGCGCACAGCCCTGCGGCTTCTAGTGGGACCGGCCTCACAAAACCGTGACGAGATTTTGCCGAAATTGCACATAGGAGCCACGGTCCTAAGGGTTTGACGTGAGCTTATTGACGTGTTGTCCTAGGTCGGGGAGACACTGGAGAAGCAACGAGCTCCGCAGCATCACTCATGCGTCAGACCCCGATTCCGAAACTGGCTCCAGCGCTGCCGTCGCACTGAAATGTCCGACACCTTCCCCGTAGGCTGTAATTTTGTCTTTGGAAAAAGACAGGGAAAACTCACCCGCAGCTGGAGCAGCCGGGGAGGGGCTGGAAGCCGCCCGCCTCTGATCCCGGCTCAGCAGCGCCCCCTGGGCGCGGGCGGCCCCGCCCCCGTGCCCCGCAAGGCGACGGGCTTCCTGCCGGACGCCCCACCTCGCCTAATTGTTCTTTCCCGCTAGGCTCCATTCACTCCGCTCAGTAAATCTTTTATATGCGTTTCCTCAGCCACTTTGTATTTTTATAAGTGCAAAGAGCGGCCGCAGCACATTCCTGAGCAGGAGCTGTGGGTTTTCCAGCCTCTCGTAACTGAACGGCCAGCAGCCGCTGCCGTCCCCCAACGGCGCAGTCAGACCCGGCGCCGGAGGGCTGTGCCCTGAGTCGGGAGACACGCCAAACTTCTGAGCCGCCAGGACCTGCCCCTTCCGCGTTAGGGGAGCTTACTAATTGCAGTTTATATATTAGCATTCGCGCGCATGGCTCACTGTATGACTTTGGGCCTTTAATCTCTCTGTTCTTACAAAAGTGCTTAAAATACTCAATGACAAAATTTTAATTTCTATAACACTTACTGCCTCCAGGGATAAGAGGAGGAGAATTTTTCTCTGTTAGCTGTTCATTACTTTTTTTTTTTAAATTAATACACTTTCGTTTTCAGAGCACTCTCAGGTTTACAGAGAACTGAGCAGACAGCGCGGAGAGCGCAGCGGCCCCGCCCCGCCCCCACGCCCGTCCCGGACCCTGCTGTCCTCTGTCGCGGACCCCTGGCGTCGACGCGCCCGCTGTGCTACAGCAGATGAGTCCATACTGAGAATTCATCGTCAGCCGAAGCCCACCGCGTCCATCGGCGGTCGCCCTTGGTGCTGGGCCTCCTGCGGGTTTTACCAAATGCGTGTGTCGCGTGGGCCCCGCGCCAGTCCATGCAGAGCAGGCCACCGCCCTGCGAGCCTCCCTGCTGTGCCCACTCGTCCATCCCCCCACCAGCCGGCCACCACCGCCCTCTGTCCTGCCGCCAGAGCTCTGCGGGCTTCAGCGTGTCCTGCAGTTGCAACCACAGGACGCACGCAGCCTTTCGTCTCGTGGACCGAGGCTTCCCCCTTGTCTTTACGACGTGACAGGCATTTCTTTTCACTGTCCCGTGTCACTGCGCTGTGAAGGGGGCCACGGTGAGCTTAGTCACCTACTGAAGGACGTCCTGGCTGTGCCCACGTGTTTGGCCATTTTCAGTAAAACTTCTCTCCACGGCCACGTGCAGGGATGGGCACGGACAGAAGGAAACCTTTCAGTTCAGTTTTTTAAATAAAAGGTTCGCAGTCGATGCCGCTCCCGCCGTTGTTCCTGTTGTGATCGCTGACGTTACTGCGATCGTGTAGCCAGACCTGGAGGTAAGAGCCATGGTAACGTGGCCGAGAACCGCATTGTACAGGACATTCCCGCCCACAGGGACACCGGACCTCGTCTGGATGCTCCTGCCCTGATTCCTGCCTGGGAGGAAGCCCCCAGGCCCCGGGGACAGGGAGAGGAAGGGGAGACGAGGGGAGGGGAAGGGGAGGGGATGGGGAGGGGATGGGGAGGGGAAGGGGAGGGGGAGGCCGGCGCAGCAGGCAGGGCAACAGCTCTGGGTAGGTGGCTCGCTCCTGGGGCCTGAAAAGAGGGGGCTCTGTTTCTCCACAGGAACAAGCGCGGATGGAGGTGACCGCCGGACCCGGGGTCCCTGCACCCTCCCGCAGGGCTCAGGCCACCGTCCCGGTCTGGCCTGTCGCCTGTGGTTGCCAGGCGGGTGCAGCTTGCACTGGGGCTGGGACGGGTCGCGCCAGCCCAGCCTGTCGTTCGCGTGGGAGCGTCTAGAGCTACACAGAGAAGAGCGCCCTGTGCATCCTGTTTCGCTCCGATTTCTGAGAATGTTCCTTAATCCTTCGGTCTTCACGGTCACATCTGCAAATTGGATATTTTCATAAACCGACGGAGTTAGAGGACAGGGAGGCTGGAAACACTGTTAAACCTTCCAGCTTTAAAAGGTCTGATGTATTAGACACGTAAAAGCAAAATAAAATAATGTTTTAAAAATTATCCAATAATCGCATAGCAGCAGCATCTTGCGTTTAGCCATCTTTCTAACGCGGACACACACGTGACAACACACAGTATGTGAATCAAGAGTCCAGGGGGAGAGGCACCGAATCAGCACGAGAAATATCCGGATTACTGTTCTTTCTCCACAATTTTTTTTTAAAAAGAGTTCAAGAGCAGGACTCCATACCCATAGGAATTTTTCTCTCTGCTACTGAGTGCTTTTTCTAAAGCCCCTATTGGAGTGACTCAGTTCTGTGGTTTCTTGTGGTTTAGTTCTTTCAAGTGGTTCTATGTGGGTCCAGAATTTACCAGTATCTCTAGAAACAGGGCAGCGATGATGAGAGTCGCCCAAGAAGAGCAATTCTGATGGGATTCAGCGCGGCCAGCGCGCACGGTTCTTTGATCCTTGCTCGTGGGACCCATCCAACTTCCACAAGCAAAGAAACCTGCCCTCCCACAAAAAAAAAAAAAAAATAGAAAAGAAAAAAATATCTTTCTATTTGGACTTAGGTCATGAGTCACCAAATTCGGCCTCTTCCTGTGGGTCTCGCTTGGTTTTAAAAATAACAATTTATACAGGGAAGCAGTGACCGACAGGACTTTCTCAGGCATTTTTCTGTGTCTGTTGAGCGCAGGAAGAGGCCTGGCAGCTGCGGTTCAAAATTCAGCTGAGTCGCAGGGTCGGAGAGCGAGTGGGATCACAAGGCTCCGCCCCCGCAAGGGCCGGTGCCTTGTCAAATACAGCTTTTCCTGAAGAGGGATTAACTAAGTGCAAGCGTCATGACCCACCCTCTCAGGGCCCTGACGGGCGAGGGGCAGCTGGGGGTCACTGTCCCTCACAGTCACCCACAGAGCTGGGCCCCGCCCACCAGGAGGGGAGCATCTGCCCAAACAGCAGACGCACCTCGTGGCTCAGGGTGCGGAGGAGAGGTGTTGGGGACAAGGTGGGCTCAGTCGGACCTTGGATATGGGGTCGGGGGCGGGTATCCCGATCACCTTTCCCTTAGAGTCTGCTTATCAGACTCCGGGAGCAAATACTACTATCAGGAGTTATTCAATGTGACTATCGCTGCCTGGCTCCCTCTGTCCATTGCTGTTCTTAGCTCTTCGTGTGAATTGCTTTTTTAAGGCGGCGGACTCCCGAGCCCACCGGGGTCCAAGCGCACAGTGCTTTGCCCTGCGACCTCCCTATTGACTAAGGACTTACGGCGCCTGGGGCGCTGTGCTGGGGATGGAAGAAGTAACCTGCCCAAGAGCTAACCCCTCGTCTCTAAGAGCTTAGAATCTTCTGAGAAAGGCAAACTTGTCCATAAGTAAGAATATAAAGCAGACTTTTCCATCTGAGTTTCAAATAGTTTGAGTGAGGAAGTCCAAACTGGGCCCCCGGCACCCCGAGAGCCTGGCTGTGGACTAGGTCTCCGCACCACCTGGGCCGGAGGGCGGCCTGCGGAGGGCGGCCTGCGGAGGGCGGCGCGGCGCCAGGCGGGGCCCGTTCCAAGTCCGGCGCTGCCGGCCCCCTCTCCACTCGCGTGCACTGGTTTGTCGGGCTCCGGTAGGGGACCACCGACGCCTGTGTCTCTGTCCCTTCCAAGAACCAGACCTCACATAGTTTGCTTCTCCAGTAGGAAGAGTGACAGACATGCGTTCAGGCCAAGCTCTCAGAGCGCCAGCACCCGCGCGGCCCCTCTCCCCGGGCCGGCAGGACCAGGCGGGGCAGGAGGGCAGCACAAGCCTGTCGCACAGCGAGCGGCACACTGGCCCGGAGGAACCAGAGAGGCCAAAGAAACGCCTGTCTAGTGAAACTGGAGTTATAAGTAATTACCGCCGTGGCCTACCATTTTAGAAGGAAGCGACTCGCCGCCCTGCTCAGGAGAGCACGGCGCGGTTTCCTGATGTTTCTCTCGCCGCCTTCAGTGGCCCAGCCGCACTGGAGGACCCCCAGGCTACGGGTTCCTGGGGCGCAGAAGAGGCAAGCTGGCTGCCTGCGCCCGCGGCTGCAGGGGCCCGGGGGGCCGGGCCGAGCCACGTGAGGCAGCGGCCGGCGGGTGACGGGCGCCGGGCAGCCGAGTCCCAGGCTCCACACTGCTGCCTCAGGCCACTCTTGGCAGCCCCGCACGTGGAGCAGAGCGGGAGTCGGTGAGGCCATTCCTAAAAAATGCTCAGCGCCCCGTTTCCACCCGCTGTTTCCACATTGGCGCGCGAGCAGCTCTGCTCCGGAGCAGCGGGATGGGCGCCAGAGGGAGCGAAGCAGGCAGGCCGGGGGCGGGGGCGGGGCCGGGGAGGAGGGGTCACGTCGGAGCCCCTGGCTCTGCTCGCCGCCTCTAACGATCTTGTGGAGAGAGAAGAAAAATTACAGCGTTTTGCCATAAAAATATAATGAACCATTTATCCCCTATCCTCCTCATGAAAATTATTGCATTCCATTCTGTATGGATTAAATCAGAGGAACACAATGATTTACATCTAATGTTTGCATTCATTGCAGGAGATTGGCTATCTTTGAGGTATTTGTGGAAGTCAGCCTAGAAAATTGATTCCCTGGGTGATAATCCATTCAGGCCCGCTCTCTTTTGGAGAAAAGAATGGAAAGAGGGTAGTGTGAGCTGTGGGAGGAGAGGCCACGTGGCTCCGTGGGGCCCCCAGAGTGGGACACGCACACCCTGTCCCCTCTGCGGCCACCTCTGCAGGTGTTGACCTCCGGGGAGAGAGGCCAGGCCTGGCGGTGGGCAGCCGAGGGGAGCAGGAGCCGTCCGCCCCGAACGCTCAGCCGCCAGGGTGTCCGCCTGCCCTTCGCCGCCCCCGCTGAAATCAGCACAGGCACGTGCCCACGGGTCACTCCTCGCGCTCCCCCAGGCCGTGCCCCTGAGTTCACCTGCGCACGAAAAAGCAAGGGACGGTCTAGCAAGGAAGCACAGCCTTTGAGATGGAAGAGACGGACACGCGCAGCTCAGGAGGAGCCTGCGGCGTTGCGACCGGCCAGGACATGTTGGGGAACGCCCGTGCGCCCACGCTGGCCGCGTCCCCCGGCCACGCCGCCCTCCACGGGGGCTCAGGCGCCTGCTCCTGGCTGCTCCTCACCACGTGGCCGCACATCAGCCTGGCCTGGCCGCGCGATCTGGGTGGGAATGAACATTCCCGAAGTCAAGGAGAAATGTGTTTTCCATCGGGCCCCGAGAGAGGATGTGATAAAGTCCAAGATTCTGTTTTTCCAGACGAATCGCCCACTCTGGACGTCAGCCACGGGCGTTGGAGCGTCTAGAAGACACCAGTCGGAAGCCGAGCTCCCAGATGTGCCGTGGGGGAGGTCATGTCTGGTCTCGAACCAGCCAGCTGAGGCCACGGTCAACGGCCTTCAGTCCTGTCTGTATGAACACAGACTCAAGAACCAGTGAGATGCCCGGGCACCGAGCACAAGACCACGGCCACGCTCCTCGTGCAGACGGAACCCGCCTCTCCTGGCCAAGCCTCGTGCCCTCCGCGGGACACGTGTGTGGCTGCAGAGCAGCCACGGCGAGGCCCGGACCGTGTGCTTGCTCCCCAGTGAACGGATGCCTCCTGAGTTAAACATGAACCGAGCACACACACTCACACTCACACCCATCGTGACGATGTTTCTAACTACCCGCTCTTGGAAATACATTGATGTCCCAAGGGGTGGAAATCCTTCAGATGCAGCAAAAATGCAACCTATCTTTCCACCCTTTACACGAACGTTTTCAAGGAACTAATCCAGGTTTGTGTTTTTGTTTTAGCGTCCCGCCCCCATCTCTCCCCCCTCCCCTCTCTCTCCTCTCTCTTTCCTTCTCTCTCTGACATACACACACGCATGCACACACATGCTGACATGCACATACAGATGTACATACTTACACAGGAAAGAGCAAAACTATTCTTAACGCTAATCTGGGGCACTCACATCCCTGGCCGTCAGTCAAGTCTGTCCCCTGCGCCACTTTGTATTGGAACAGCGTTGGTACGAGCCAAGTGGCCTCCGGTTCGAATCCCATCCTTCCTACCTACTCGCCGTGTGACCTCTCACGAGTTCTTCGATATCTTTGGGTGAAAACTTTCTCATCGAAGATGGGAGGATAAAGCCAACCCCACGGTCTGTGGCGAAGCTTGCTAAAAATATCCAGCGTGAAAACAGACAGGGATAAAGACGCCTAAGAGGAAACCGGGAGGAAACAGCATCTATCGCAAGGAAACTTTGAAGCAAATTAAATAACACAAAAGTCTTATTTTTCATTATGTGTATTTTTATCTTTTGACTTTTTCCCAATTGCAATTATCTTTTATTCATGAATAAATGAATAGAATTCTAACAATAAAGACAGCGCATTGAAGAAAACATCAGAACACGAATTGGACCCCATGAGAAGGAATTTCCTGTGGGCTTTCCTGAATCTCGACAAAAATTACTATTAAAAAAATCTCTTTTAAATAAAGAAAAAAAGTTGCACAGAAATGGATTCCAGTTGTTAAATCCAACACGCTTCAGCCTGAGCAAAGGCCCCCGCCGGCCGGACGAGGTGTCGCGCTGGACGCCCAAGGCCGCTCATGACTCCACTCCACCAAGCCCGGGGAAATGGAGGACTCCCTTCTAGAAGCCTCCATAACCCATGGAGGACTGCCCTGAAGCCACTCACTGAACGGGTCATGCGACACATTCTTATCTTCCTATTAAGACTGGAAATTGAGCACTTGCCCATCACCCTGGCGGGTCCCGGGCTGCGCTCAGGAAGCGTGTGATGGAGCGATCGTGGCCTGTCCGCCACCTTTCTCTCTCCCCCCGAACACAGACCCACATCGCTGCTGGTGCCTCGCTGAGCGAGAGCCACGCTCTCCCTACGGATTTTGCCAAAGGGGAGGGCAGGGAGTAAGACGGTACTCATTTACGGCCTCCGATTTCGAAAAAGAGAACCAGGTCGAGCAAGCTGCCGGACCCGGGGCTGCAGCAACACGGAGAGGCAGCTGTGCCGGGCAGTCCCAACGATGACGCGGCGCTGGTTCATCCACGCGGGCACGCGGGCAGCCCCGGCGCGTGTGTTCATCTCAGCATTTGACCTTGTTACCTGGCAGAGCCA